CATGGATAAGGCAGCTTAGACCTTTTGCAGGAAAATTTAGATAACGTCCTTGACTGGTGCCAGAATAATGATCTAATGCTTAATCCCAACAAGTGTAAAGTAATGTCCATTACCAGGAAACATTCTATCATACCATATGATTATATGCTGGACAATCACAAACTTGACAGAGTACAGGCAGTAAAAGGCCTAGGCATCACTATTACTCCAGATCTGTTATTTTTAACACTCTTGAATCAAATAGTCAAATCAGCTTCACTCATGCTCAGATTCATTATTAAAAATTGCAGATCTTTTACCAACACATAATCATTAAAAATACTGTAGTTCACAGCGCCGGATATGTGTCCCTATACTCAAATGTTCTCTACTGTTACACTGAATAACCCCTACAAGTTTGAGCCCATAGTTCTAAAACACCCGTATACGCGGGGAGAGAAAATGTTACGTAGCGTTTATAATTTACTGTGACAGTCTGGCCTTGCTGGTCTTCGAAGAAAAAGGGTCCGATGATTCCTTCAGCCGACATGGCCGCCCAAAACTGTAACATAAGGTGAATGCAAAGGTCGTTGGTGTTTTAATTTGGGATTTTTTGCAGCTCAATGCCGGTAATTCCGTTTGTCGACAAATCCACTCAATTAAAAATGAGCTTCATCAGAAGAGAATATTGTTCAAACTTTAAAAGCGCTATAACATGGTTTCTGCAAACGCCCAGCGTAGATGTTGGTCCTGCGGTTTCAATTCCTGCAATAGTTGAAGTTTATATGGGTGCAATTTAATGCCTTTCAACAAAATATGCCGTATTTAGAGATGTTTTTGGTGTGGCGGGCTCAGCTGCTCTCTTTTGGGATTTCGCTTCAAAAATCACACTCCCAAATATTCTGTGAGTTTCCTGTTTGGAAATATAGCCAAGTCATATTTTAAGAGTACGCATAAACAAATTCACAAACCCTTATTAAAAAAATGTTCCAGCGTCCAGCTCCCATCTTGAAACTTCTAACTGCCATTTTCACATTCATCATTAACTTGATCTGCACAAAAAGTTAGTATGAGGAGGTGCCTTTCTGACAAGCACTGTATACTTTAGTACAATCTTTGCATGGAATCCTATATACAATGATAGATTTCCGTTTTGTTAGAATTTTGTCGCCGAGCTTACATTAGAAAAAAGTTTATTTAGTTAGCCCAATGACAAAATTGCAACAGATTAAATAATGTAGCTTATGGAATTCCACGCAAAAGTAGTAACAAAATATCATTCTTCATGTGTAGGTCTTCTATCTAGGTATATATATATATATAAAGTGAAAATGATCATACGGAGAAAGGTATATAACAAAAAATAGGAAAATAGTGGGCAAAATCCGCAAAAAGAAGGAAAGTGGATTCGAGCAGAAAATAGGATAGGTAACCCGAGCAATACGTTTTTCTGCTTGTTGGCTTCATCAAGAGAATTGCGCAGAAAATTGGAAAATCATTGAAAACCTAATGATTATTCAAGTTGCGCGCGTTTGACGGTCTGCTTGAACATAGGGCACGCACAGCAGAAGAAATATCTCAAGTACCAAAAGAGACAGGTACTCCTCTCCGCCATTACAGTTAGCTATGTGAAGAGAAAATTATGAAAACTTGTTTTAATAAGAAAAGCTTTCGTTTCTGGTCTTAGATTTCTTTACCATCCGTACTTTGTGATGGCCCCTTCAAAAGAAACTGCAGTGTTGCCTAACTGTTATCTTTGACAGTCAACTCTATGAATAAAAATGGTGGATGAGAATAAATCGTTGCTATTGGACCAATGAACGTTGTGAGTCCACATTTCAAGGCTTTCGAAATTAAATATGAAAACCCTGGATTATGCCGGGTCAGTTGAAAGATCAAATTGACTCCACTGGTACCACGACCAGAGTCACTACATTCAATGCTTTCCAGAAATGGGCCAGATTCTACACATTTTTGACTCATATCCAGCTATACAATAACTGCTGTCAAATGACGTGATTTGGCACAACAAAATTCATTCCACATAATTGCATGCCTACATTCATGGTAAGTTGATGGGAGAATGACAGTGCTGCCAACGTATTTTGCTAGACTCATGGAGGCACAAGCACTTCGCTATACAATTACCTATATTCCGTACATTTACATTTAAATTTTAATTATTCATTATTCATTCCAGTTCATAGCTAAGGCAGGAAACGGTCAGCTAGTCTACTATACAACTAAAATCATGTCGCTATTTTTCCTACGGATTCGTCCTGTTCATTTCATAACAACGAGGCCTAAGACTATAGAAGAAAAATCCCGTGTCATCCCCCCGATATTCGTCACGTCTTCTGGAACGGAAACTGGCAGCCGTTCTAGCAACACGGGGGAGATTTGAGCGAAACCATCACCCCACACTATAAACTTATAACTCTGCGACTCATTTAATGGCCATCATTTCGTTTTGTTTTAATTGCTCGTCAAAATTTGATTACAGGAAGCTCCTTTATGCCCTGACAGCCATCGCTTACGTCTTGTATTTGTCTGTGTCAGTTTCTGGATTACCGACATTGGTCAACTCATAATAACCCCGAGGGAAAACGTTTCGACCGTGCCACGATAAAATTCTCTCCTTTAAATATAAAATGCTTAATGTCGACGTTTTATAAGGTTTTAGGTGTATAGAGACGTATTAAAAGTATATTGCGCTGCTTCTGTCATTCGCAGCTTTTATTTTTATAACGCGTCTTCCACCGAAGCTTACGTAACTTGCGTCGTTATGAATCTCAACCTTTGTCTTATTTTTTATTAAAAATGTTTATGATAAGATTTTATTTTTGTTATTACGGTGAGTCTCTGGTTATAGACGAGGAAAAATCTTGTGTTATGGAAGAAATATTATCAGATTGTCATTTGTTTCGCATACCAGATTTATCCCAAAATCACCCCCGATAACATTAAATGTTTATTATATACAGGGTGACTTCGAAGTTGAGTCATTTATTTTAACAGTGAGTAGATCTGATCAAAAGAAATGCTTTTTTCCTCTAACATTTTTCTGGTAAAATTAAAGTAACAAAGTTATAGCCCTTTAGAAGTTTGAGTACCGCCCTGTCTCAATAATAATATTATGTGCTCGCGTTTGGCAACAACGGATATAATCCGCCTTATCCGTTCATCGCATCGGAAACAAAAAAGCGAAAGAATTTGAAACGATGTTTTTACTACAATGTACAATTTTATTCAGTTGTTTTCCGTCAATGTGTCAGTCGGTAACGCGTGAGTGAATAGTGGTGTTTGTTGCGTGGCTCAAACGAAATAAAAAATGCACATGTTTACGAAAATGCTGAACTTGTGGACATGACTCTTATTTACGGGGGGGGGAGTCTTTATGCGGATCGGTTTCCCAATCGAGTGCAACCAACCCCTCGTGCCTTTGTTAATGTAGTACAAAGGGCTCGTGAATCAGGTGACTTAAGACCTCACAGGGGAGGGCATGCCGGTGCTCCAAGACGCACGATCAAATACAGGTCCGCACTGAAATACTTGTCTGGAGGATACTTCATAAAACAAGGTAACATTTTTTTTAATTTTAATTTTTACACACATATTTTGGTTTAGCTTCCTTCTACAATCATTATCTGAAAATTAATGACTCAACTTCAAAGTATTTAAAAAAATGTTTGTCAAATATTTTTAGCGACAGATTTTTTAATATTTAATAAATATAGTTCTTATATATTCATAAAATATTCATTACAGATATTTGTAGTATATATGATTAATATATTTTTGCGATATTTTTCCATATATTTAGAAAATATAATGAGGAAAGGTTTTTAAATATCAATTTTCTATTTTGATGAAATCTTTAATATTTTTCGTGAATTTGTATGGATTTCCAAGTATTAATCTGATACATACTTTCGGTATATACAGGGTGACTTCGAAGTTGAGTCATTTATTTTAACAGTGAGTAGATCTGATCAAAAGAAATGTTTTTTCCTTTACCATTTTTCTGGTAAAATTAAAGTAACAAAGTTATAGCCCTTTGGAAGTTTGAGTACCGCCCTGTCTCAATGATAATATTATGTGCTCGTGTTTGGCAACAACGGATATAATCCGCCATCGGTTCATCGCATCGGAAACAAAAAAGCGAAAGAATTTGGAACGATGTTTTTACAATTATTTTATTCAGTTGTGTTGTATACACGCAGTGTACAGTCGGTAACGCGTCAGTGAATAGTAGTGTCTGTTGCGTGGCTCAAACGAAATTAAAAATTGCACATGTTTATGCGGATCGGTTTCCCAATCGAGTGCAACCAACCCCTCGTGCCTTTGTTAATGTAGTACAACGGGCTCGTGAATCAGGTGACTTAAGACGGCATGCCGGTGCTCCAAGACCTCGCGATCAAATACAGGTCCGCACTGAAATACTTGTCGGGAGGATACTTTATAAAACAAGGTAAATTTTTTTTAATTTTTATTTTTATTTTTACACACATATTTTGGTTTATCTTCCTTCTACAATCATTATCTGAAAATTAATGACTCAACTTCAAAGTCACCCTGTATAGAAAATGCTTCATTGGTTATTTTATCAAAATCTGTAGGAATGCTTTTATAAAATTGGGTTTATAAAGTAAATTCATTCTAGATATGATGGTCTAATTTGCTAGAAAAATATCACTAAAAAACATTCTAAGCCTCTTCTGCATCTTGCAAATCCACTCCTTTGAAAAAAAACTCACTAATTATAAACTATTATTGAATACATAAGGTGCTTTCCAGTGGTTTTTTGTTTGAGAGAGATATTCTCCCAAACTACTCTAGAAGGGGTATTTATGGGAATACGTCTTTTAAGTTTTGCATATAGAAACATAATGAGCCGAGCGGATCGAACGACAGTACTGAGTCTTAACTTCATTCTTTAATAAACTTAAATTCAAAGATTCACAACAATACTTCCAGTGTTCTCACTACAGTAAATTTTGTGTCACCAAGTCATTAGAAAAATGGAACTCAACCGAGAACATTTTCGAGCCATAATTTATTACAACTTTCAGAGACAATTATCGCAACAAGAATGCCTTGCTGAGTTGCTGTCTGTTTTCGTCAACGAAGCTCCACATCTGCCGACAAGTTCCCGTTGGTATGGAGAATTCAAACGTGGACGGGTGAGTCTTAGCGACGATCTCAGGGTGGGTGCACCAAAAACGGCAGTCACCCAGGAAAACGTCGATGCTGTGCGCAAACTCATCATTGAAGATGTCACATATCCCGAGATTGCGGCGTCCTTGAAGATCTCAAAGACCTTAATTCAAAAAAAATTACATGAAGAATTAGGAGTAAGAAAATTAGTTTCTCGTAGGATACCCCACCTGTTGACCGAAGAGCAGAAAGCAGCCAGGGTTAATTCGTGTCAAAAAACGCTTGACCGTTTCAATTCCGGAAACTCAAAAAATGTGTACATCATTGTTAGTGGTGATGAATCGTGGATTTACTGTTATGAACCAGAAAATAAACGACAGTCGGCTGTTTGGGTGATCCAAGGTGAAGAAAAGCCAACAAAAGTCATCCGTTCTTGAAGTGTTTCGAAAAAGATGGACGCGAAATTTGTGTCAAAAGCGGGTCATATTGCAACAATTCCTCTTAATGAGCAAAGAACTGTTACTGCGGATTGGTATACCACCATTTGTTTGCCAAAAGTCATCACCGAGCTTCGAAAAATCAACCCCGAAAGAAGAATCATCCTCCACTAAGACAATGCAAGCTCGCACACAGCCCAAAAAACAAGGCATTATTTAACGGAAGAAAACGAGGAATTATTGGACCATCCTCCATATAGTCCAGATCTAAATCCTAACGATTTCTTTACTTTACCGAAAATTAAAAACAGACAGCGTGGTCAAAGGTTCCAGTCAGAAGAAGCAGTTGACGCATTCAAAAATGCCGTTTTGGATCTGCCAGCAAAAAAGTGGCATAAGTGCTTCGAAAATTGGTTCGAGCGCATGCAGATGTTTATTAATCTTCGTGGAGAATCTACGAAAACCAATAAAGTCATTTAAAACTACCTATCGTGTTGTATTATTTCCATAAGCAAAACTTCAACGGCATCCCTCGTATAAAATACAGTGGAACAGTATTGGTGCTAAGCACTGTTGAGTTACTCCGAGTAGCTCAACTGGGTCACTAAAAAGCAGCTCTATAAAGCAGCTAAAAGGACCCCACATTTTCTTCCTATGAGCGATTTGTTTGATTTTTAAGAAAATGTGGTATGCTATTTTAGATATCTTGAAAAATATCCATGGGCACAACTTGATCCTTTGATTAAACTTTCATAGGAAAGGTTTTTAGAAATAGACCACTTATTGATTTTGTTGAAATTTCACTTTTTGCAGTAGTAAGGGAGCTAATTTGGCCATAACTACTTTGTGATTTTATATCATAATTCAAGGGACAAAAATATAGTATTTTCGACTGTTAAAATTTTTGATCGTCGCTGTTGAACTTAAAGATCTTAAAATAGTTACAGCTGATTTGTCCCCTACTACGACAAAAATACTAATAATGATTGAGATATTTAAAAAAAGCATTTTTGATGTATCTCGATCAAGTTGCGATTATATGACTTTTCATTGGGATGTTATGAATATAATTTTCGTATCCATTTTCAGACAAATCCACTAATCCCAAACCGCAAATAACTTACACTTACACTTCAAAACTAGTTATTTATGATGTTGTAAACAACTTTATACTCAACTGGCACAATAAGGTTTACTAGTAATAAATTAAGCTATGTAATTATCGAAAAACTTAGTCTTTTCCGTTTTCCACAAAAAGAAACACTCAAATAATGTACCACTTGGAGTGCACACGAAGCACGCTATCATAGTGAAACTCACAGGCAAAATGGATGCCAGGAAAACGCGTCGGCTCAGGTCGGCTTGCCCTTATGCCATTGGTCGCTCGGGGTCACAAAAATATTTAATGAATATTTTCCAAATAAATGAGACTTGATATTTTACATTGATTGAAGAGTGAATACTTAATGAATATTATAAAATAAATATTTTATTTAAAATATTCAAAAGATATTGAATAAATATTTAATAAAAATATTACACTCCAAATATTTATTAAATATTTCTTCAAGATAACAATTATTTAAGTAAGTTAAAAATATTATTAAATATTGAATTAATATTTAGGGAATATTCCATGCTATCGGAGACACTTTTATTTTTTACTGACTTTATTTGAAACGACATTTCAGAATAAATTGTATATTGTCATTGTTACTTATTCTCCTCTACAAAATGGCGTGGCCAAATTTTATAGTCGACATTTTTTTCTTTCGACTTCTATCATCAACTTTGTTTTTCGATGTGGACGCTATATTGAAATTTTGTACATTTAAATAGACTTTTCAGTCCCAAATTCAGTGATTAGTGAGTATTTCGTTAGTTGGCCATGAGTTTGTTGTTCGATAAAAATTAAAACGAAATAGAAAGATATGCTGGAACTTGAACATAAAGTCAAAAAGTTATTTATTTATTTAAACAAATACGCTTTGTTTAACAATGTGTATAGTATCGTATGTTTTTTGAACATCGTAGCGCATTTGTTCACTGACTCATAAATACGAAATGTTTAAATTTGTTTGTGTTTCGCATAAAAATGACATTTATCTTCCGGAATGGTTTGTGACTTATATCGGTAAGGTAAGCTGGTGTATTTTGCTATAAAATGCCCTTTGAACTAACCTGAATATTGTAAGATAAACTAGTAGTGATGGCCGGAAGACAGGTGTTTTGGGATAAACAATTGGACATTCTCAAAAACTACTCGACCAATCTACTCCAATTTTGTTGTAGCTATTTAGAAGTATGAATCCTACGAATTTCAACAATTTTAAGTATCTGCGAGGAACCATCGTCGCATTACCAAGAAGTGCCAAAACCTTCAGTTTGCCTGGGCTATAGTTACCGGACTGATGTACATAATTAAACATTAGAAGATTAAATTTGATTACAATACCATCACACAATAAAGAATAGTTTAAGAAATCATTCTCATATCAAATTGCCTTTTTGGTAAATAAATTCAAAATTAATGATTTTTCTCTCTCGGTAGCTAAATTTAAGAGGAACCTTAAAAGTGATTTACTGTCTCAGATATAGCAAACATATCTCCTGCTCCCCCTTTTCCCTTCTTCTCTTTCCACTCGCTTTCTCTTCTCACTCTAAATTTCCATTTCTCTACTTACTATAACTTCGCTATATTTCTTAATATCAAAACGTTATTAATTATCAATGTCTTAATAGACATTTGCATTATTATAGAATTGTTTAAATTTGTTTGTTTTTCTTTGTTGTTCTAGCAGCTGCTTCTTTAAGGGGCAAGCTGATGTAGCCCTTTATTCTCTTAAGGCTTTTTGTTTGTAAACTTTTATATACTGTTTAATGAGGGTAATAAATATCATTATTATTATTATTATTATTAAATATATTCATATTGCGTTTTTTAAATACAAAACCAGTTTACAAATAAACCTACTTTGGAATTGAACCTTTTTTTTGTATAAAATGTGACGCCTATGGCAGATATTCCTTTTTCTTATTCTTGGTTTTTATGAGCTTTCGACTAGAATTGGAAATATTGTACCTCCCAACCTCCCATATCACACACATTATTCATTAAAATAAACGAAATTGTCCTTGTTAATACAAACAGGTCTCGAAGAATTCTCAGAAGTGAGTTCGGGCCCGGCCAACTTCAAATCCTAGAAAAACGTCTGGAGTCTGGTATGCAATGCTGCAATTGTTTTAAACAGTCTTCGCGCACCTTTTACACGGGCTTTTCGGAAGCGACATTTTGAGTGTTTTCAAAGGGGAAATTCGGCCGCACACAAAAAAGTGTATTCGTCGCATGTAGATTAAGTGTTTGTCAGTTTTTGTACTGCTTTGCACCTTTGATTACGGGAAGAATGAAGTAAAACTTCACAGATACCGCGGACTTCTTACACGGGCTCTTCGGCAGTGCTAATTTATGTGTTTTCAGAGGGAAAAACTCGGTCGTACCTAGGAAAGTGTGACAGTGGCATGTGGAATAAGTGCTTGTGAGTGCTTGTAGTGATTTTCACCTTTGGATTACGGGAAGAATGAAGGAGATACCGCGATACAGACATGGCGGAAAATGGTAAGTGCTAATTTATTTTATTTTTACTCACTTTTACGGGATGTGCTTATATTGTGTATCGTGCACAGAATCAGTTTGTCTCAAAATAGTAAAATGATAAATCAGAGAATCCATATAAGGGGTATCTACATTGGGATGGGCACTTATCAGCAAAATATAGTGGTGAAAATGACACTGATACTTATCAGACCTCCATGTAAATTTTTTTGGACAATCACTGCTGGCGTATACCGGGTGTTTCACATTCGATGTATCTGGAAACGGCAAAGAAACACAAAGTTGCTTCAAGTGGGGCAAGGTTGCGAATTTATGTAACAAAAGAGTTTCGAAATTTAAAGTACTTCCAGAGAGAGACGACAAAAACCGAATTTTCCCAAAATTCATACCTGTCTCTATTTGTAATGGGATTTGATAATGCCGCATTTTCTCCTCTTCAAGATGGGTATAATTAGAATTACAGTATGACGTTCCGCCTCTTGTCCTGCAGCATCAACTTTATTTTTCTTATGGACGCCATATTGAATTTTTGCACAGATGAACATAGTTTTTAATTCTGATTCCAAAAATGCATAACATTACATTGCCAAACCTAAATTATTTAAAAGAATTTGCTTCGTGTAGAGGTGAATGTGCCAGTGGTCGGACAGTTTAGACCAGCGTTTCTCAACTTTCTTTTTGTTGAGGCTCTCCGGACTATAAATTGTATTCATGCCTCCCTTTACTTTTTCTATAAATTCAAAAAACGCACATTATATAGCTACAAAGACTTTTATTTTAATTCTAATAGAGAAACTTTAAAAGTTTATATAAACTAATAAATGTTTTTTATCGAAAAACTTGAATAAAATAAGAGTAGGTACTAATGAGACATTTGAGATTACATGTTTTGTACCAGTTGGTTGATTCTGGGTTCTGTTTTGCCAGACCTATCATCAGGTCGCTATCGACATCAAGATGATTTTGCTGTTTAGTTTTAATTAAAACTAGAGCAAAAAGATAACATTTCCAGAAGACACTTTTTGATTCCAAAGTTGAAACTTTGTTATTAATCCCTGAACATAATCATAATTGCTTATTATAGTGTTGTTTCTGCCCTGAAGTTTCAAGTTTAGCTCATTCAAGGAGTCAACTATGTCAGTTAAATAAGCAAACCTCCATTGAAATGTGTCATTGTCAAGAAATCGTGTTTTTCTTTGAACTCAAGACAAATAATTATCTCTTATTTCAATTCATAAAGGCGAGCCAACATGTTGCCTTTGGACGGCCAGCGTACTTCTGTATGGAACAGAAGAACTTTGTGATCAGAATCGAGATCCTCGCAAAGTAAAGTATGTGTACTAACCATTGCGGACATTTTTTCCTTGAGCTTTTTAGCTAAGCCCGATCGTACACCTATCATTGCAGGTGCACCATCTGTGCAAAGTCCAATGAGCTTCTTCCAATCCAAATAATTTTCTTCGACAAGATTTTATATTGAGTTAAATATAACTTCAGATGTAGTACCTGCTGTCAAAGGAGTGTACAAAATCTCTTCTTGAATGATATGTTCGCCGATGTAACGAACATAAACTATTAATAATTGTGCACAATTAACGATGTCGGTAGATTCATCGCAACTAATGGCAAAAAATGGCCATAATTTTACTTTGTCATTTATTTGTGACTTTATGTCTGCTGCAATGTCATTGATTATAAGCTTGACTGTGTTATTTGAAAGAGAAATAGACTTCATTTCTTGCTCTGCACCTTCTCCTAAAATTATCTGCGTGGCATTTAGGACACATGCTTTTATTAATTCTTTACCGATATTATGAGATTTCTTTTGCTTTGCTATCATAAAAGCTATTTTAAATGAAGCTTTGAGATGCTGTGTGATAACTTCCCGATTTATCTAGTCTCATCCGCTTGAGTGATTCTGCTTTAGAAGAAACAAAACTCGTTCTTCTTCAAAATCAGAGTAG